TTTACATTTTGCGCTAACCATTTGAGCTACCACGGCTTAATCATATACACACACAATATTTAAATATAATTTGTTAACACTAAATCATACACACGTAAGAAAATAACAAAAAGAAAAGTAAGTTTGTCAATAGAATAAACACTTACATCCATGGCCTTTGATGCGTTGAAGTAACACAAATGTAGTATTGACACTGGGGTCAAACGACCATACACTAACTCAATGACTGCAGTTGCTTGGTCTTATATAGTACCAGTAAGTGATAATTCTAATCTAAAGAATATCTGCAGTGGAATTGATAATAACTTTATGCGTCAACAAGCTTATCTCACATTCTGTTGTTTATCTCAACATTCCTTCGTCCTTCGTGTCGTGTCTTGTTCAGTGTATTGATGACTCAAATACGTTTTGTATAACACAAAGAATGCAATTTAATATTTAGAAATCACTATAATTGATCATTCCTGTTAGTCATTGAGTAGATTGGTACTGTAATAATCTACTAATAGCAGTAATATCATGGATACACTAGATGTACAACAACATCTGAAAAAGATTTACCCCACTCTAAAAAATAATGTTTATGCTGCCAATAAACTGCCCGTGTACACCCACGTACCAACGTATATAATATGCAATTTGGATACAGATGATAAACCAGGGTCACATTGGGTAGCTTTATATATCGATACGAATGACGTCGGTCAATATTTTGATTCATTCGGACGGGCACCTGTACGATATCATCTAGAGTTTTTAAAAAGAAATTGTAAAAGATGGAACTGGAGTGTTGATAGGATTCAGAATGAGTGGACTTCAGTTTGTGGCGAATATTGCTTAATGTATTTGCTATATAAGTTTCAGGGATGTTCAATGCATAGTTTTACGAGTATATTTACAGGGAACATATTGTACAACGATATTTTAGTGGATGAGATGTTTCGCTCCTATTTTATAGATAATAAGTAATAAGATTTTGTATTTTGTAAATATAAATTTTAACAAAATTAGGTAATGTGTTTTATTGATGAGTCAGATTAGTGTAGATACGAGGGTGGATTGAAAAGTACTCGGCCTAACCAAGAAAATAAACACATACTAAATCAGTTATATTTTTATTTTTCTACATAATCACCATCAAGTTCAATACACTTTTGCCACCTCCCCTTCCAAGCATTTAGACCGTTGAAAAAAATTATTCTTCCTTAGAGTCAAAATATGCGTCTACAGCTGCTTTGACCTCGTCGTTTGTCGAAAATCTTTGATCTCCCAAGTGCTTTTTTAGGTTAGGGAACAGAAAGAAGTCTGATGGTGCCAGATCAGGTGAATACGGCGAATGCGGTAACAGTTCAAAGCCACAGTTGTGAATTTCAGCCATTGACTGTACTGACGTGTGAACACGGGCGTTATCTTGATGAAACAGGACTTTTCTTCTGAGCATTCCTCGACGTTTTTCTTTTATTTCCTCTCGTAAGCGACGTAGTAAGGTGCAGTAGTAATCAGAGTTTATAGTCTGACCCCTTTCAAGATAATCAATCATAATCACACCTTTCGAGTCCCAGAATACTGAAGCCATCACCTTATTTGCCGACAAAATCGACTTAGCCTTTTTAGGGGGTGGTGAACCAGGTCTTCTCCACTGTTTTGATTGTTGTTTTGTTTCCGGTGTACAGTAATGAACCCATGTTTCGTCCATAGTAACAAAACGATTCAAAAAATCATCTGCATCGGCTTCAAATAACTCCAAACAGTCGCGTGAAATAGTCAATCGCGTCCTTTTTTGTTCAACTGAAAGCAGTCGCGGAACCCACCTCGCAGACACCTTGTGGAAACCCAACTCGTTGACAATGATGTTTTGAGTTCGTTCATAAGAGATGCCTATAATCTCGGATATCTCTCTAATTTTTAATCTGCGGTCTCCCATTATTAAATCAAGTACTTTTTTTAATATTTTCGTCAGTAGTTGACGTCGAAGGCCTTCCAGAGCGGGGTTCATCTTTCACACTCTCTCTACCACGCTTAAATTCTGCTATCCATTTTTTGACGGATGAATATGACAGAGCACAATCGCCTAATGTACTGACCATGTCATCATGGATGGTTTTTGATGATAGCCCCTTCTTATGGAGGTACTTAATGACGGCACGCTGCTCGATTTGCTCCATTCGCGGAAATTATGTCCGATTACTTTGTTAATAAATTTATAAAATCACAACTAATTATCGCACACGTTTCGAACTTCACACAATAAACTAGTCTGAACTGAACTAAATAATGTGGGTAGATTTGATTTTCAGAATTGAATGGATCTGTGTTAGGCCGAGTACTTTTCAATCCACCCTCGTAGGAACAAAGGAGTATAATACAATAGCACCACGCTGAGGAAGAATAGATAATGACGGTATTCAATGAACAATAGATAAGTAGATAAGAATAATGGGGCGCTAATGACGGTGGAGGCCCGCACCGGATATCAATTAGATAAGAGTTAATTGATCTGCACATCTCCGGAACCGTGCATCCTACGCAAAAATGGACCGCCGATTCGTGATCAGAGCATGCCAAAACTTTTTTTTTTTTTAGAATCGTGAGTCGACGAACGTCGTACTTGTACCACTTCTGACTCAGTGAGCCAGAACTGGTACAACGTAACTACTAAGTCCAACTTCGAGCGAGAGGTCAATCGACGGATTCAACTCGGCTGGGCAGCGTTCGGGAAATTACGACACATCTTCTCGTCAGGTATACCTCAATCTCTGAAAACTAAAGTGTATAACCAGTGCGTGTTGCCAGTGATGACTTACGGATCTGAGACGTGGTCCTTCACTGCTGGCCGTATGAGGACGCACAAGGTCGCTCAGCGAGCTATGGAGAGGCCTATGCTCGGAGTTTCTCTCAAAGAACCAATAACTGATGGGGAAGAAAGGTTCTCGAGTGGCAGCCTCGTACCGGTAGGCGTAGTGTAGGGCGACCCCCCACTAGATGGAGTGACGACCTGGTATGACATGCAGGAAGTCGATGGATGCAGGTAGCTCAGGACCGTGCTTTGTGGCATTACTTGGCGGAGGCCTATGTTCAGCAGTAGACTTGTGGGGCTGTAATGATGATGATGATGATGAACAAAGTAAACATGGGTGAATATACATTATACACACATATACTGCTATCTATGTGCTGACAGTTGTCGAATATGCACGATAGTGCAGAGGGATCTTAATATGTACGAGTATAATGTGTGTATGCACAGGGTTATTTTAACTACGCCCCTCTTTCCCTAAGGGGGGTCGCTTCCGATACTACTGAATGACCTTACCAGGTCAAATCGAGTCTCAAGTGGTGTTTAGTGGGTAGGCTGAGGTTTCTCAGTGAGTCCACATAACCACGCAGCCGACTGCGTTTTATGCTTAGAGCATTCACCACCTCCCTCCGACTATTCCCAAAGGGTAGCCCTTACTTGCTTCTGGGTGCAAAAATGGGTTATTTTTCAAAAGAGTATCTAAATTCAATTCGAGACGGTTCGACGAAAAATGAGATTGACTTCATTATTTTGTTGACAACTAGATGCCAAATGTTCAGTGATGTCTCAGTGAACACAAGGGTGAAAACTGGGGCAGGGGGCCCCAGGCGAGGATGGAATTACAGCGGAGCTTCTGAAAGCGGGTGGAACACCGGTACTTAGTCCTTCAGAAGCTCTTCAATTCCATCCTCCATTGTGGCACTACTCCGGAGGCGTGGAGCAGAAGTGCTGTGGTCTTTTTCTTTAAGAAAGGCGACAACGCTCTTAAAGAACTACATACCGATTTCCCTTCTGAGCCGCGTCTACGTGCTGTTTTCGAGAGTCATTACCAATCATCCCGCACGTAGACTCGATGACTTCCAGCCTCCCGAACAAGCCGGTTTCCGAAAAGGCTTCAGTACCATAGACCACATACATACCCTGCGGCAGATTATACAGAAGACCGAAGAGTACAATCTACCACTTTGCCTGGCGTATGTGGACTATGAGAAAGCCTTTGATTTCGTCAAAATTTGGGCGGTGCTACAGTCCCTTCAGCGGTGTCAAGTTGACTGTCGGTATATCTAAGTGCTAAAGTGTTTGTACAGTAGGGCTACGATGGCTATCCGAGTACAGAACCACAGTTCGAAACCTATCCAACTGCAGAGAGGTGTAAGACGTGACGTTATATCCCCGAAACTCTTCACCGCTGCATTGGAAGACGTTTTCAAGTTACTGGACTGGAAAGGATACAGTATTAACATCAATGGCGAGTACATCACTCACCTTCGATTTGCCGACGATATAGTCCTTATGGCAGAATCGTTGGAGGACCTAAGCACTATGCTCCATGACCTCAATGGTGTCTCCCAACGTGTGTGTTGCTAGTGATGACCTATGGAACTGAGACTGGTCCTTCACTGCTGGCCGTATGAGGACGCTCAAATCGCTCAGCGAGTTATGGAGAGGGCTATGCTCAGGGTTCCTCTGCGTGATAAAACTTCGAAATTGGGATATTCGCAGGAGAACCAGAGTGACCGACATAGCCCAACGGATTAGTAAGCTAAGGTGGCAATGGGCCAGCCATATAGCTCGAAGAACCGACAACCGTTGGTGAAAAAAGGTTCTCGAGTGGCAGGCTCGTACCAGTAGGCGAAGTGTAGGGCAACCCCCCACTAGATGCAGTGACGATCCGGTAAGACATGCAGGAAGTCGATGGATGCAGGTGGCTGAGGACCGTGCTTTGTGGCATACCTTGGAGGAGGCCTATGTTCAGCAGTGGACTTGTGAAGAGCTGTAATGATGATATAAATAATGATATATTGTTGTTGCAATTTTTGAAAATGCGATATAATAAGGCTTCTACTTTTATTTGAAATTATCTCAAATTAAATGCGATTTATGAGGCAACGACTACGCGTATGCGCGCTTTTCTATGTGAGATTCAACTCTGTATTTTTTAAGATAATATAATAGTATTATAATAGATCATTGGTAAGCAAACCTGTCTCTCCTGCCGTATTTGGTGTGTTGTGTGTGGAGGCTGTTGATACCGAGGGGTATGTGCAAGAGCTTGGCGAGCATTTTCTAGCCAATTCAATGCATTCTTAGATGCATCTACTACTTTTTGTATATCAGCTTCTGCTAAATGAGAATACTTTTCGTCGCCAGACCTGCAATAAAATTAAAAGAATATTAATTATAAAATTAAATAAAACTATTTTACGGATTTTATCGTGTTTAATTAACTTATTTTTAATTTCCGACGTTTCTGGTGCTATTAAGCGCCCATGGTCACAGTGGACTTAAAAATAATCGAATTAAAAATAAGTTAATTAAACGTGATAAAATCCATATTATAAATAGTTGGTAATTTTATACTATCGCGGTCACCTCGTTTTTTGGCTCTAGAAAATCGAAAACTCATCCAATTTTAATGATTTTTTTTTTTCAAAATCTCCGTCTTTACGGCGGATTTATGGCAAAAAATATGGAAAATATCTCACCTCAAGATTTCATATATTTTTATGACTTCAAATGTGATCATAAATGCACTTCTACGAATATAATCGTTCAAAACTTTTTGCAAAGCGCTAAACGAAGTTTGTATATTTTTATTGTTAATCTACACAAAAAACAAACATCAATTTTTTTGGATCTGGATTTTTAACGACAAAAAAAAATACACGTGTTTCAGTATTTTTCATTTATTATAATAGTTTAGAAGTTATTTAAAAATAGGGGAGTGTTGCTTTAAAACAACACTGAACCATAAGACTAAAAATGTATGTTCGTCGACTATGAATTACTTTAGAAACCTTTTTCAGAAAAAAATATGATAGGTGAAAATTTCTGAAACAATTCTTAGTTTTGGTATAACACAGTGCTACCCCACATTTCTCACACATGTTATACGTAAATCCAACGCACTTTGGAAGCTTGCATCTCATTTTTTTTTCATACCATTGCGGCCAGTGGCCTATCTGGTCTTGGCGTACTGCCATTGGCGGTACGTATTGTGCAGGTCCTTTGCGCTTTTTGGCTTGAATCTCGGTCTCCAGTGAACGCCGGCCAGACATACCAGACTTTGTACCCATTTTACATAGGGTCACTGCAACCTCCTGACGAAAATCTGCTGATGATAAAATGCTTGATGCTGAAAGATTTTTGTATTTTGAGACTCTTAAGTAACCATGCATTAGCCATCGTGAGGTCGAGATAATGGTAGAACAAGCGCACCTGCCATCGTTTACTACGTAGCCGTATCTTATAGATTCCCATGATGCTGTCAATGAGGTCGACTCCACCCATGTGGCGATTGTACTCTCCAACTACATAGGGTCGCTTTATAGTCACATACTTTGACTTTTGCTTGTCCCATCTACGAACATCAGCTTCTGGTTTTTGACCAGCAAAAGTTGAAGCAAGGACGACTATTTTGTTGTCCTTCCAAGCAACAGTCGACACATCAATTCCGTTCACGTCAGCTACGTATTCTTCAGAATAACCACGTTCTTTTTTCATGATTTCCTTTTCTTGTTGCAATTTACAATCTGGTATTCTATTTCTTCTCACTGTACCAAGACTGTAGATACCTTCTTTAGCCAAATACTCCAACAAACGAAGAGAGGTAAAATAATTATCAAAATAGAGCTGGAAATTCTGGTGTCTTGGAATAATGCGCGCTAGTCTTGTGACGACGTTGGATGATGCACCTAAATCAGGCTCTTCTTGTAGGACAACATTCTCCTTACCAGTTTCAATTTCAGTTTTATAGGCGAATCCAGAAACGCCACTCAACACGAAGATTTTGTAACCCCATTTGTGTGGTTTGTTGGGATTGTATCACTTCAACGTATTTCATGCTTTAGTGGAGCACATTTGTTCGTCAACGCAAAGGTGCTCTTCCAATGGAACTTTGCTGTAGACCTCATTCAAAGAGTCCACCACCGGTCTTATTTTGAAAATTCGGTCATGTTCAGGCTTGTTTCTGGGAAGGTCCTTGCTGTTGTCATTGAAATGTAAAGTCTTTTTTTTTTTTTTTTTATAGGATAGGGTGACAAACGAGCACACAGTCCACCTGACGGCAAGTGGCCGCTGTGGCCCATAGACATCTACATCTATCCTCGATTACGAATCAAAATGCAGATGCGTTGTCACCCGTGAGGACTAAGATGGAATGCCTCGCTTCCAGTAAAAAGGGTCTCCGGTTCTCTGCACTCACCACACGAAATACAGCAGCATTAAGCCACCATTTCACGCTGGTACTCTATGAGAGCGCGGTCCTTCCCCGGTCGAGCCGACCCATTCGTGCTACAACTATACTACTAATATAACTGCAGCATGGCTCTACCACGTATAAGTCTGACGAATTTTCGCAAATTTATTCAATGGCATAGTTTCTTGAATTAATGTTGTACCTAGTATTGGGCTCCAATGATTGGTAACTCTAGGTAACTGGATAAGAGACATTACATATACCACACCTATGAATTGCCTGACATCCATTTCTGTCATACGCGAAGTGCTATTGGGATCCTTTTGAACTCGGTAAAGGTTTGTCTCTTCTGCAATCTTTTGTATGAGTTCTTGAGGAAACAGGTATAAAAAGAACTGTATAGGAGTATCAAGTTCTAGAAGATCAGGACCCAAGGTCTTGTTTCCCTTGAACATGAGCTGCTCGGCATTCAACTCAAGATTTTTCTTCTTCCAGCGTAATATCAACTTGGCGGGCTTTTTCTTACCTTGGGATTGTTCGTTGCTCATTTGTTGGTTGTCTTGAGCTGGAGAAAGCTGGGGAACACTTACGTTTGATGGGGAAATTTCTGCGCTAGTCGATGGGTTTTCGTGGTCATCTTCTAAAGTTTCGATAAGAGAATCCATGTCAATGTCCAACGCCACATTGTCATTTTCGAATGTTTCCAATTCGGGTACAAAATCAGGGTCCGCAAGGCTGTCATCGTCAAAATCTAGCCCATCCTCACTATCCGCACCATCTTCCAGCGCTGCAGCAATGTACTCGTCCGCAAGGGATTGCTTCCGAGCCCTTCTAGAACATAAAAAACTCCTATAAACACTTTTGCTCTCATACAGAACTACTTATAATAAATTCTCCTTTTCTATCAATGTTGCCTACGAGCAACAAACAAGAATTTAAAAAAATAAACAAAACAAGACAATATTTTCGTAAAGATAACTTTAGATATTAAAATTCAGACACTTACCTATCCATGTTTCCAAAATAACACCAAAACACTTCCAAAAACGAATTATTTACTATTTTTCAAATCTAAGCACGCACGCACTTGTTCAAATTATCAACAATTGACAAATGAAGTTTGATTTGCGACACGTAACGCCATCTAGTAAAATTTATTAGTACTACTTCTTTACTTCGGTTCCCAGACCACGGACTACAGTGCAATATGACGACAAAAAATGAACCATTTTAATTTTATGGGAGGTCAAACGGTATGTTGCTTACAGTCTACAACATGCTACAGAGGGTTAACTATATATTATATTCAAAAATAAACCAATAACTTATATTATCCTCGAAAAATCTTGTAACAAAATAAAAAATTATGCAATCTTTGACAGTGATTGCTATATCTTAATCTAAATAATGTACATTTAAATAAAAATTGAAAAATATTTTTTTTAAAAACACATAATAAGGTTTATTTATTAATTTATTAGCGAAGCGAGCTCGGGACTTAACGCATCCCCACTCGGACAGGTTAGGTTAGAAGGAGATGGCAGGGTCGAGTGAGCGAGCGAAACGAGCGACAGCTCACTCGAGCCTGCCATCTCCTAACCTAACCTGTCCGAGTCAGGATGCCCTAAGTCCCGAGCAGGCATCGCTCGATCTTACACTCAATAAAAACCAAAATTAAAAAATTAATGAAAAAACATTTCTAAATTTTCTTTTATTTAAAATGTTTGATTTTTGTGTAGGTGATTAAAACTACTTTTACGGATTTTATCGCGTTTATTTTTACTTTTTATTTTTAATTCCCGACGTTTCGGGCGCTTTCCAGCACCCATGGTCACGGGGGACTGAGATGACTGACGTCCCGATGTCATTGTTAAACCCGGAGTACCTTCAGCTTTTTTAATTATTGTTTATGGTCCGATCTATGCAAAATGAACTGACTATGTCCTGAGGTCTTGCAGTGGTATGCTTGGGTTTAGTTTTAATTTTATTGATTATAGGATCCGGTGGTAGTACCCAGCCTCCTTCTCTATTGAAATTAGGATGTTTTTTAATTTCAATAGCCTCACGTATCATCCTTGGTAGGAATCGGTGTTCTTTCGCGAGGATTTGTGGTCTATCAAATCTGATGTAATGGTTGGGGCCGTCTAGGATATGATCACAAACTGCAGACTTCCCGGAACGTTGATGCTTCACATCAGCTATATGTTCTTTTACGCGGGTCCTAATTGATCTTTTGGTTTGTCCTATATAAGAGAGACCACATTCACAATCAAGCTTGTACACTCCTGCATCTTGTAGAGGAATATGACACTTGACGGATGGTAGGAACTGACTAATCTTCTTCGGCGGCTTGTAGAGTGTTCTAATAGAAGCTCGCTTCAAGATATAGCCAATCTTGTCTGTGACACCTCTGACATATGGTAGTACAGCAGGCACACGCTCGACTGTGGCCGGCTTCACTCGGTCACTGTGACGTAGGCGCGGGACCCGAAGCTTGTTGTCGTGCAGAACTTGCTTGACGTGCTGAAGCTCGGCGGCCAGGTGTTTGCTGTCACAGATCCCTCGTGCTCTCTGTAACAAAGATTTGCCCACGGTAGCGAACTGTGAAGGATGGTGGTGAGATTCACCGTTTAAATATCGGTTTGTATGGGTCTTTTTCCTATACACAGTGTGACCAATGGTGTTATTAGGATTTCGGATGACTAACACATCTAGGAAAGGTAAGGAATTATTTGCCTCTAACTCCATAGTAAATTGAATTTTAGCGTTTATGGAATTAAGATGTTCTAAAAATGCAGTTACTTTGTCTGATGGTAAATACCATAAATTAACAACTAAATAAAATGTCCAACATACGAAATCGTTGACCACAGACACGAATCATAAACAACGCGCTGTCTACAACTTATCAAAACAAACACTGGACGACGCCACAATAAAAGTTTTAGAAAAAGGTATTAATTTCGCAATAACACCGCGAAAAATACCGTATGAGGACATTATCTGTAGTGTTGAGGACTGTCTGTATAAAAATAATATTGGTAATGAAGATTTAGAGGCCACACGTCAAGACATTTCGTCTATGTTACGTCGAAAATCAGCGCCGAAATTAAATCTCCCCAAAAATGAATTTAACGCGTTGAAAAACTTACGCAACAGACCAGAGCTTACGATTCTCCGCGCAGATAAAGGTAATTCTACGGTTATAATGGATACGTCAGATTACAATTTTAAAATACAACAACTTTTGTCGGATGAAACTACTTATCGAAAGGTCAAAACAGACCCTACAACTAATACGCTTAAAACAACTAGCGATCTAATTAAGAAATACTCCGAAAAATTGAATCTGGACGTTAATTCGATAATACCTTCCTGTGCCAAACCACCGAAGTTGTATGGGTTACCAAAGATACACAAACCGAATGCTCCATTACGTCCAATAGTGAGTCAGATTGATTCGCCAACTTACAGATTGGCTCAATACTTAGCTAAAATATTATCACCACTCAGAGGACACACAAGAGCACACACTAAGGATTCATACCATTTTGTCAGTGAGATAAAAGACCTACATCTTACTGACAATGAAACCATGGTCAGCTTTGATGTTCAGTCTCTATTTACATGCCTACCTGTTGAAGACTGCATCTCAATTATAACTAGGAAACTAGAGGAAAATAACATGCCAGCAGAATATGCAGTATTACTAAGACATTGCCTTACATCTGGCTATCTATTGTGGAAGGAAGAGTTTTACAAGCAAGTAGATGGTGTGGCGATGGGCTCACCTGTATCTCCCATTGTCGCCGATATATTCATGGAAGACTTTGAGGAGAAAGCCCTCCTTACTGCACCTGTTACACCAAGGATCTACAAGCGGTACGTAGACGATACTTTCACAATTTTACCATCAGACAAAGTAACTGCCTTTTTGAGAACATCTTAATTCCATAAACGCTAAAATTCAATTTACTATGGAGTTAGAGGCAAATAATTCCTTACCTTTCCTAGATGTGTTAGTCATTCGAAATCCTAATAACTGTGTATAGGAAAAAGACCCATACAAACCGATATTTAAACGGTGAATCTCACCACCATCCTTCACAGTTAGCTACCGTGGGCAAATCTTTGTTACAGAGAGCACGAGGGATCTGTGACAGCAAACACCTGGCCGCCGAGCTTCAGCACGTCAAGCAAGTTCTGCACGACAACAAGCTTCGGGTCCCGCGCCTACGTCACAGTGACCGAGTGAAGCCGGCCACAGTCGAGCGTGTGCCTGCTGTACTACCATATGTCAGAGGTGTCACAGACAAGATTGGCTATATCTTGAAGCGAGCTTCTATTAGAACATTCTACAAGCCGCCGAAGAAGATTAGTCAGTTCCTACCATCCGTCAAGTGTCATATTCCTCTACAAGATGCAGGAGTGTACAAGCTTGATTGTGAATGTGGTCTCTCTTATATAGGACAAACCAAAAGATCAATTAGGACCCGCGTAAAAGAACATATAGCTGATGTGAAGCATCAACGTTCCGGGAAGTCTGCAGTTTGCGATCATATCCTAGACGGCCCCAACCATTACATCAGATTTGAT